ATGTATTTAAAGATAATAATTAGGCGGTAAGAAGCATTAAAATGCCTTCGCATTATATAGGGATCATCTTCCTAAGTAAAGGGCATATAGCACTCTTCCCTTTTATCATGGATTCCTTTGTGTTACATAGTTAATAACAAAATTTTAGTTAATAAAAAATATAATTCATAAAAAAATTATAATAGTAATTAATTAAAAGGTAACAAAAACAGAATAATATTTATTTAAAAAGAATAATTTTACTAAGAAAAACGAACTATTGTATTTAAATTAATTTCATTTAGTTGTAATTAATTAAAAAAAATTAATTCGTATTTAGTCCTGAGCTCAGGCTACTTCCGGGGTTACAGCTGCGAATAGTAATACTAAGTCGTTCACCAAGAGCTGCAGGAGAGAAGGGTTTGGCTCAATACGCCTCATGCGCCCAATGGATTTCCTCGCCTGACAGGATGCCGCCTTTAAATAAGCGTACACAACCCCCCACCGGGGTTGCACCGAAGGAGAGCCTACCCACGAGAGGGAGGCAAAAGAGCAACGAGGGAACAGTTAGTAAAAGTATAATTAATAAAATAATAAAAATAATAATTAATTTAAGGAGTTATATACAGTTAGGATTTTCAAAAAAACGATTTTTTTTTCGTTTTCTTAATATATACATATATATATATCTGAGTATATACACACAAAATTTCAAGTCGATCCGACGAATATTGTCGAAGTTATGATAATTTAGTTAGATATTAGTGATAAAATTAACTACATGCAAAGGTCTTTCAAAACTTTAAACTCGTTTTTCTCGAAACGGTATTTTCAAAGTCGGTGAGCAAGATTTCTTAAAAACGGCTGAACCGATCGGTCTGAAATTTTTACACGCGCTTCTTAACTACATTTTTTGTAATTAATGGAAGAATTTCCCCATCCTATGAAAATTTCTTATTTTTATAAACAATTAAAGACCCGAATTTTGGTCGAAAATCGAATCTTTTACTTTGAGTAGCCGCCATTTTGTCAAAACATTTTTTGTTGTTAATTCCTTCGATCAATCATTAGATTATTTATTATATTAATGAAGTTTCTTTGGTTTTTGCTTATTAGACCTCTGCAAATATCAACGTTCCCGATATTTATTTTTAGCAATAAAAAATATGTCAATATAGTTTAAGGTTGTCACAATATACCTGCCAAGTTTCAAAGCAATAAACCAAATAGTTTGCATAGAAAAATTCTTGAAAAATTCCTTTTTTTCGACCTCCTAACTGTATATAACCCCTTAAAACAAGTTAAAGCCATAATAGTTTACTAAAAAATAATGATTATTTTACTTTAATTAAATATTAATAATTAATTAAATAATTAAATTAATTAAATATTAATAATTAATTAAATAATTATAATAATTAATTAATACTTTTGAACCTTTTATATACATAGTTACGCATGTATGTGTATTATTAAAAAAAATAACATAACTTGCGTAAATAAACAAATTAAAAAAGGATGGATTTTAAAACACTTTATCGAAAATTAAACAAATATGCTGCTGCGTCTCACACAATGCTCACTTAACGCTACACATTTCATACCCAAACTCGCTACAAGCTATATATACATATGTATATTCATATATGTAGTAATATACTATACATATCTAAAAACATTTCATAGCGATTTCTTTTGATTTTAAATAACTTTATTTTATATATAAATGTATATTAGTTATTGTTTGGTTTAAATTTTAAATAATTATTGTTTATAGTTAAATTTAATAATGGTTGAATGCTTGCAACAAAAGAGAAAAAAATTTCACTAGACTTAGCTTAGAGTTCACTTAAAATTAATTTTTATGCTAAGGTTACAAGTGCCGAAATTCAATATCATAATTTTAGCCAAAACTCTTTTTTGTGGCTGCCATATAAAACTTGGAACCTCCGGCCGTGCTTGCGACGGCGTAGCAGACCGGGTGCTGTGGTGTTGCACTTGTCACTCTAACATAATGTTTTTCTTTTATATTTATTTAAATTCAAATATACACTAAGCGCAAAAATTATTTAAATAATTAAATAAAGCAGCATTCAAATAGTTAACGGCTCTTTTTTTTCTTGTATTGTTTTCAATTTGTTTCAACTCGTTATACAATATACAATATTTATAAACGTGATAACGCACCTAAAAACACATTACAACTTCAATTATGTTTAAGAAAAATTTACAAAAAAAAAACACTATTTAAATAATAATTATAGTTAAAAAATACGTTTGCGAAAACGTTACTGAAAGATCTAGTTTTAATTTATATTACAACAACATTTCAACATTTGTGTTGTTTGCCACATTTCGCGGCATTTGCTGCTTTGTTGCCTTTTTGTCGCTTGCTTTTTATTTATTTTTTTTTTTTTGAATTTTTTTCTTTTTTCTTTGTTTACTCTTTTTAGTGTTGTACATTTCTCCGTTAACAAACCATGACAATTTTGCTTTTGCATTTTTGTTTGCCGTAATCATTTCATTAAGTATGAAATATTAAAATTTAGTTTAACTTCTAACTTGCTTGCAGCGCAATTGGCCAGAAAAATGTACAGAAATTTTAAGTTTTGTTCGACGACATCACAATTCAGTACACTGACTTTCATGATGCGTACATGCGTTTGATATCTTGTTGGTATTTTTCTTGTATTTCCTTGCGTTTCAGCTTAAAAGCGGCTGTAACGAGACCCATGTCAGGTGACCAAACCTCCTTGCAGAGCGTTAGCACTGCGGGCACTTCATACTTTTGCAATTTGCCTGTGAAAAAAAAACGAAACTAGTTAAAAAGCCCGTTAAATTATTAACACCTTTTAAATGCACTTACATTTCCTGGCATGTTCGGATAGTTCTTTTAGGACCGCCTTCTCCATAATAGGCGACGTGCATAACTCGTCGAAAGGTTTGGACTTTAAGCTATTGCGTTCGGCCAATTCTTCGAGATGTTTGTGATTGGGCACCACCAATGCGACGGTGAACTGTTTGGTTGGATCGCCATAAATGCAGATATTCTCCACAATTGGGCAAGTCTTCAGTTCGGATTCGACTTTGCCGAGTGACACGTACTCGCCGGCCTGCAGCTTAACCAAGTCCTTCTTGCGATCTGAATCGATTAATATAATTAAAATCGGATAAGTTTTAAGTGTTTGTAGAAACTTGAAATGTTATCGTACATATACTTATATAAAAAAGAAATATATGAATAATAAATAATACTAATATTTTTGGGATATAACTGCCTGCAAACTGATCAATAAATATCAAGTCAACACAACACAAAATATCTTCACGAAATTTGGCATAGCTACAATCTTTGAACAAAATAGAATATATGAAGCTGTCATACGAAATGTATGATCAAAATCAAGATAAAAATATTATTATATCGGTTTATGTTAAAAGAAATGCAGTACAGCTGAAGTTCGTTTTCAACCTCAAACTTTACTAAACTTAATTCATCAACAATCAATTTACTTAGAATGTTATTTATATTGAAAAAAATGTCAATTCGTCTATTTACGCAGTTCGTGACTTAACTAAATTCGTTTTTAACCACAAACTTCCAGCAAACTTATTTTAACACTTCGGGCCATTTACTCATTGTATGGTTAGCAACCGTCAGCTTTGTTAAGTTAACCAGAACTTAACTGACAAGTGGCTGCTATACAAATATTGAGAAATCGAACCTTAACTATATTACTTTTAATTTCGCACATTAATTCTCAACTTACCAATGATTTTAAGTACACCATCTGGATGAATTTCACCAATGTCGCCAGTTTTAAACCACTGTTTGCCATCCTCCTCGAAAAATTCCTCAGCAGTTTTGTCGGGCAATTTGTAGTAACCTTTCGACACACAATCACCGCCTATTAGCACTTCGCCCTAAAATCACATTTCAAGCATATTTACTATTTGAAAACAATAATTTTAATCAACCGACAAACCTGTGGATATGGTTTATTTGTAATACGATATCTGCCCTCCTCCCAGTTGACTAGACGTATGTCGCAGACGGTCAGTGGTGCGCCAGTGCGACCATAAGTCATATCACGGTCTGAAAATATTACAAAACGGATAATTATTTATAGACTAAGTGATCTAAGAAAAGCACGGGACTTACTGTCCATAACCGTGGCCCCCGATGTAGTCTCCGTTAGACCGTAACCTTGTACTACTTCTACGCATAAGCATGTTTTGATTTGTTCATGTGTATCGGGTGAGAGTGGCGCACCACCGGAGAGCACCAAACGCACGCGGCCACCAAGCAATTTTGAGACCTTCTGGAAAACCAATCTGTGGAGGGTGAAGCAAAAATTTTGTGAATTTTATTTTAAAAGTATATATTTTTATTTAATTTAAATTACTTATCAACCAACGGCGTCTGATAGCCACGATTCGTCCATTTCACTTTGTACTGATACAGAAATTTGAAGAGCGCCTTCTTGAAGGCAGAACCGGAATTAACTTTGTCGTTAATGCCTTTGGAGATGCGGTCCAAGATTAACTTAAGATAGAAAAATATTTTAAAATTCAAGGAAACGACGAAAATAATAGTTTTTTGAGTTCACAAAACTCTACATACCGGCACTGAAGTCATGCATGTGGGTCTCAAGACGGTCGCATCACCTTTGCTGCCGCGCATAATCTTACTGCTGGTGTCAATTAGAGTCAGTGGCGTGGAGTAGCCAATGGGTACGCCGGTAATCAGGCAAACACTCTCGGCGAGCAATTCAAACACGTGCGCCAGCGGTAGGAAGCTGTAAAATGTAAAGGTGTTGTCATATAAAATTGCGTAGTACAACTTATTTTCATATTTTACTTACCCAATCAGCACATCGTCAGGCTTCACGGTCACCACGTCACAGAAACCTTTCATTGTGGCAATACAATTTTGATGAGACAATAACACACCCTTCGGTGTGCCTGTCGAGCCGGAAGTATACATAATAATGGCTGTGTCCTCGGGTTTGGGTGGAACGCTCTCTGTGGGAGGACGGAAAAGTTGTTATAATTTTTGATAATTTAATAAATTTAATTCTGCTGATAAGATGTTTTAATAATTACTTATCAATTTCTTTTGAATATATTTTTTCCTTAATAGAACTGATTTTTTTTTAATATTTTATAGTTTTTCTTTTAAATTCTTATTTTTTTTATAAATTTTCAAAAATTATTAATAAGTATTTTCATTGATTTAATATTTAAATATTTTTTCTGAATTAACATATATTTTTTTCTTTTATAATTTTTTTAATTTTTTATTTAATATTGTGATACATTTTTTAAGAGCTTCAATCAGTTTTTAAGGTATTTTAATCATTAATTGAATATTTAAAAATCGTTTCTAAATATAAGATTCTAATTTCATATAAATCTAAAAAGAACTCCTTAGAATACGTCTTTTAAGAATAGAAATATATTTGAAACAAATTTACTTCGAAAACTAAATTTGGAAAAAATAAATTTTAATTCAAGAAAATATAATTTTAAAACTTTATTGGGAATAATGTAATTTGAAAAACAAGGTTTCGAAAAGGAAAAGAATTTTCGAAAAGGATATAATTAAAATTTTAAATATACAAATAAATAAAATGTTTAAAGCATGCAATGTTAAAACAAATTTTAAAAGATAATTCAAAGAACTTTTCAAAAAAATTATATACATACATGTACATATATAATATGTACATATAGGTATGTATTTCGAATTTTTTACTTATTGTTTTAATATTTAAATATTTTTATAATTTAGTTTTTATTTTCTTTAAA